AATCTGGTTGAGCTTCTTTTTATTTTTTTTTTTTTTTTTTTTTTTTGAGAGGTTTTCGCTATTGGGTGCATGTGCTCGCCAGACAGACAGAGAGAGACGTAGAGACAGAAAGCAAGAAATCACCCCCAGGGGGGATGGTCACACCGCAATCCCTTCTCCTCCATTCTCCTCCCGGGATCTTGGGCACGCACGCACACGCGCCTGGTGTGAGTTTTAAGCCACCAGGTCCAGGACGCGAACCGCGGTGGACTACGTGGGAGACCAGCGACATAGCCATTGTGCTAACTGCTGGTTCCCCAGCTTCTTAATATATGGTTAGGAAAATGATAAAGCAACACTTTTAATCTGTTTTGGAGCACAATAAATGTCCTCTAAGTGGAGGAAAAACAATCAGAGTAAAGGGTAGAAATCTTTCTCTCTATTTTCCCTACTGCTCAGAATAATGTACCCAAAGAGCTGTTGTTTTGAAATGTTTTTTTTTTTTCTCCTTGAGCCAATTATTTCAAGTTGGAAGAGAAGAAATTCTATTATGAAACCAGATTTACCCCAAGTAACCCAAGTAAAATGGAAAGATATTTTTTAATTCCACATTCATGCTTTACCTAGGGCATTTTAGCAAAGGGTAAAGACTTGGCTCCAAACGGTCACTCATGTGTGGCCTGAGCCACATGGTGAGAGCTGTTGTCATCGCCGTCAGCACCGAAAGGGACAAGGTGGGTCTGGATCAGACTGTTGTCAGATTTGCCTTGATGGCTGTCAGGCTTCTCTGATCAATGTTGGGTCAACTTGCCATTTGGGTTCTGGTGAATGCAGGTCACATCCTAGACTTCACTGGCCCATCATAAGACTGCTATAGAATTAGCCAAGTCTCTCTGCTCTTCTCAGAGCCTTGACAGCTTCCTTGACCACTGCACATAGGACAGATCCCTGGAAGTTTACTGTAACTGGGGAGAGTGTGAGTCCAAAGCCCATAGAAGCCAAACTCCACCAAGGCAAGAGTTAAATCCTGTTCTGTTACTCTTGTATTTTTTTAATTATTTTATTTTATTTTATCCATTGTAATTATTTTATTTTTTTTTTGAAGTTGACCAGAGAGAGCGAGAGCAAGAGCGAGAGCGAGAGCGAGAGCGAGAGCGAGAGAGAGAGAGAGAGAGAGAAGGAAAGTGAGAAAGCAAGCTGCCAGGTCTGGGACTCAAACTGCAGTCAGCCATATGGGAGTCCAGCTGCCTTAATCACCATGCCACCTGCGGGCCCCCTCTTTGTTACTATTGTTAGAACTCTGTTTTTAATTCTCTTTTAATATGTTTATATTTACTTGTAAAACATTTAACTGATATAAGGATGTTCTGGAAATGCTCATCCTGCTTCTAGTCAAAGTCTTTTGTTTCTTCCCTGATGTGACTAAATCATCAAGCTATAGAGACATGTGGGAATGATGAAATTCATGATAGTGTGGTGGATCCAAAGGGGTACAGTACAGCAGTCCCCTCATCTGCAGCGGATACATTCCAGGGCCCCTAGTGGATGCCCGAAACCACAGATATTGCTGGATCCTACGTACACAGTACTGTTTTCCTCTACCCACATGCTCCTCTATTTATTGGGGATGTATCCCGATAAATCCATAAATCCTTGAGAAATTGTTAAGTCAAGCCACCATAAATTGGGTACCATCTGGACATACATACCTCAGATAAAGTTTAATTTATAAATTAGGCATGTAAGAGTAACAAAAACATTTTTTCTATCCAAAAATGCATCATGACTACTTTTCTGATGACTCAATAATAACAAAATAGAGCAATTTTAACAATATATTGTAAAAAGTTATATGAGTGCGGTCTCTCTCTTGCTCTCAAAATATCTTACTATGTTTTACTCACCTATTTTTTAGGCCATGATTGATCATGGGTAATTGCAATTACAGAAAGTGAAGCTGCAGGTCAGGGAGATTCTTGTATCCCAGTTGGCATTTTACCTGTTCATTGGTCTACTTGCCACTTTGTTCCAAAAATATTTCAAGGCTCTCAGGAAGAAGAGGGTAGGGCTTCCATACTTGGGCACATTAAACAGCTCTTTGCTTCTCTAAAAAAATAATAAAAATTAAAAAATATGACTCCGTAAGTTCATTTATTTTAAATATGACTGTAAACTAATAAAACTCTTCAGGTCAGAATGACAGTATACTGTTTTTTACTAAAAGCCTGAGCAAGGAAAAACACCATGGTATTAGCCTTATTAAATGCTGTGTATGTAACAGTCGGGGCAGTGAAGGGGACTGCAGACAGTGCTCAGTGAATCCTTTGCATTTCAGAAGGGCAACACTGAACCCTTTTTTTTTTACTCTTGAAGGTATTTAGAAGAAAATTTGATTGATAACATAGTATAGAATCTTTTTATCTTTCCTTTTTGTAAAATTCTGCCCGAGGGCCCTTGTGCTCACTGGAGAGAGACAAAGAGAGAGAGGGAGAGAGCAAAAATGCCCCTTAATGGAGTGTGGTCGCACTCAAATCCCTTCTTCATTTCTCCACCCTGTTGAGACTTGGAACACATATACACATACCTGACATATTTTTCAAGCCACCAGGGCCAAGATTCAAACCATGATTGACTATGTAAGATCTGGCTCCCTTAAGTAGTAGGCCACAGATCAGCCCATGTAGAATCTTTAAAATAGTATTTTTCTAGGGACCAGTAGATGGCATGGTGGTTAACGTGCTGACTCCCACTTGGCCGACCACAGTTTGAGTCTTGGACTTGGTGGCTTGCTTTCTCATTTTCCCTTTCTCTATCAGTCTCTGGTCAAAATGAAAATAACAATATTAATAAATAAAATAAAATAATTATCTTAAAACAAGTGTTTTTTATATTGAGATACAATTCACGTACTACAAAATTCAGCCTTGTAAAGTAGACAGTTCAGTGGGTTTTACATATGCTCATATAAAAATAAAATCAGGTAGTTATACCCTTGTTTAATTCTAGAACATTTTCATCATGTAAAAGAAACGCTATTCCCTATTGCCAGCTTTCCCCAGCCCCATAACCACGAATCTTACCTTTTCTATGGACTCATCTACAGAATTATACAATATATGGCCTTTTGTGGGTGACCAGCTTCTTTTACTTAGCATCATGGTTTTCTGGGTTCATCCACATTGCATCATGTATCAAACCTCATTCCCTTTAGTGGCTAAATTATATTCCTTTGTTTTTATCTTTTCATCAGTTGATGGATATTACGTTGTCTTTACTCTTTGGCCACTATGAATGATTCAGCTGTGAATATTCATGTACAAGCTATTGTGTATATTTTCATTTCTCTTAGTGATCCACCTGGAGTGGAATTGCTGATGGACACTGTTGTTATTTGACTATTACCAGGGATAATACAGGGCATTTGGCCCAATTCTTCATCCAGTGCAGAAATAAAAATGATAGTTTTTACTATAGAATATTATCCATCTGCCTCACCATTGCATTTCCTTTCTTTTTAAATAACCAGGACAGACAGTGGACAATGCCCACTGCTCTGTTCCCCCAGCCTCTGCTTTTGCAATTGCCACAGCTGCAGCCGGACACGGGAGTCCACCAGGTGAGTGGGGGGTGACGGTGGGGAGTGCGGGTGGGGGAGGGGGTTGGCTAAGTACAGAAACCAGGTAATCCCTCTTAAATCAGTGGCCCTGGATTATCAGTGTCTTGATACACTGGGCAGTTAAGAATGCAAGCGCCCAGCTCCTATTTTGAGTCATTGTGTCTGGAGAGAAACTGTCTTTTACATGAACTCCTTCAGAAATCCTGTCAATTTCAATAACATGGATAAACCTGGAGGAAATTATTGATACATTGGGTGAGATAAGTCAGATGCAAAAAGACAAATGCTTAATGATTTCACTTACATGTGGAATCTTAAAAAGTTGAACGAATAGAAATAGAGAGTAGAATACTGGCTACCAGGGGCCAGGGGAGGAGGATGAGAGGGAAGTGGGGAGATGCTGGCCCAACAATACTAAGTGTCAAGTAGACAGGAGGAATAATTTCTGGAGGTCTATTGGACAGCATGGTGACTATGGTTAATAATTTACTGTATACTTGAAAATTGCTAACAGAGGGTATTTTAAATGTTCTTGCCTCAAAAAAGTGAATAAATAAAGGGGCTAGCAGTAGCATGATGGTTAAGGTACTGGATTCCCACATGACCAACCATGGTTCAAGTCCCAGACCTAATGGCTTGAAAAATCACACTCTGTGTGTGTGTGTGTGTGTGTGTGTGTGTGTGCGTGCATGTGCATGCCCAAAATCCCAAGAGGAGAATGGAGGAAAAGGAATTGTGCCATGGCTATCACCCCTGGAGGGTGATTTCACACTTTCTCTCTGGTGAGTTTGTGTGCTCTCTGGAAAAAAAAAAAAAAAAAGAAAAAAAGAAAAAGAAAAAAGGATATGAAGTGATGGACGTTACCTTTGTTTAATCATTCCCCAATGTATGCATCAAAACATCATTTTATACCCTATAAATATATACAACAAACAAATCAATTAAGTAAATAAATAAACATCTTTAGCTGTGTCTCACACAGATAGTCTATGGGTTACAATCTGAGAAATTCTGTATCAGAGAAGGATGTATTATTTCTCCCATGTTGTTTTGTGGCATTCTTCAATCTCTTAAACCAGTTGACTAAGAACTCGTTTCCATTTTAATTGAATACAATGCTAAAAGCATATGCAAAGTGGAGGGAAGGCTTGTGAAGTGGGGGAGAAAGGAGGGAATCGGTGCTTTGGCTGACTCATAACTCATTCCCAGTAGCTCTCCGAGTCTTTCTGAGTGGCTATCAGTTAATTTTAAGGGTAAAGACAAAGCACTGAAGATAAAGCACAGTATTTTTTTAATAGATGAAAATCATATTCATTAGCTCTGTTCCCTTCTCTCACATGCAGGGAGGACATTCTGTTAAAATAAATATGTAAGTGTGGGACCAGCAGGTGGCATGGTGGTTAAGGTGCTGGATTCCCACATGCCCAACTACATTTCAAGTTCCAGTCCCAGCAACTTGAAAATCACATGGAGCTCATGTGCGTGCATGCCCTAAATCCTAAGAGGAAAATGGAGAAGAAGGGATTACTGTGTGCTCATACTCACTGGGAGTGATTTCTCGTTTTTATTCTCTCTGTGGCAAAAGAAAAAAGAAAAAAAGAAAAGAAAAAACAATTCCTAAGTGGTTTAAATAGCCTTGTTGCTGTGTCTTCACCTAAACTAAGCCTATGGGTTTCATCATTGTGGTTTGTAGAACTACGCATGATTTTTTTTTTTTTTCCCACCACAGGGCACATGTGCTTGCTGGAGAGGGTCAGAGAGAGAAAGAGAGGGAAAGTGAGGATTCACACTCTGGAGGAGATGGCCATGCCTCAATCTCTTCTTTTCCATTTCCTTGAGATCTTGCACATGTGCCTGGCATGATTTTCAAACCACCAGGTCTGGGCCTCAAACCGTGGTTAGCCTGTGGGAATTCAGCACGCTAACCACCACACCACCTGCTGGCCCCTGTATTTCGTTAACTAGTTCTTATTCACCTATGACAAAGGAGACCTTTCTCAGCACCTATGAATCTATATTCACAATAATAACTGGTATGTATTATTTGTGTGATTTCTTTCTAAATTGAAGAATAAGAGACGTTCTATCATGAACATGAGCTACCATCACAATTATATACAGATATATACATATATATTATTTTATATATATGTATATATTATAATATTATAATTTTATATATTCCATCCATCTTGGTCCATTTTCTGTTACTATAAAACTGACACTGGGTGCTTTTTAAAGAAAATAGGTTTATTTGGCTCACAGTTCTGGAGGCAGGGAAGTTCAAGATTGGGTGACCACATCTGGGTCAGCTTCTGATGAGGGCATTTTGTTGAATCAAATGTGACAGAGACATGGAAGGAGCCTCAGGCACTTGTGGAAGGGGCAAAACACACGAGGCAACCTTTCTTTTACAATAAGCTGTTCTGTAGGTAACTTAATCCTGAGACCTAATCAACTCTTAAAGCCTTGCCCCGCCCAATGCAGCCATACTGGGAATCAAACTTCAACATGAGTTTGGGAGGAGGGCAGTACAAAGCACATCCATACAAGGGCACCATCTATGTGGAAATTCTGCAGTCGACCACGTTCCACTTCTTTAACATCTTCTCATATATGTTTCACTGGGTGTGGTCAGGAAAATTGGGCTGTTCTTTGCCCCAAAGGTTCTTTTTTTATTTAAAGAATTATTTTATTTAACTTAGTTCTGGAGGCAGGGAAGTTCAAGATTGGGTGACCACATCTGGGTCAGCTTCTGATGAGGGCATTTTGTTGAATCAAATGTGACAGAGACATGGAAGGAGCCTCAGGCACTTGTGGAAGGGGCAAAACACACGAGGCAACCTTTCTTTTACAATAAGCTGTTCTGTAGGTAACTTAATCCTGAGACCTAATCAACTCTTAAAGCCTTGCCCCGCCCAATGCAGCCATACTGGGAATCAAACTTCAACATGAGTTTGGGAGGAGGGCAGTACAAAGCACATCCATACAAGGGCACCATCTATGTGGAAATTCTGCAGTCGACCACGTTCCACTTCTTTAACATCTTCTCATATATGTTTCACTGGGTGTGGTCAGGAAAATTGGGCTGTTCTTTGCCCCAAAGGTTCTTTTTTTATTTAAAGAATTATTTTATTTAACTTTGTTTATTATTATTTTCCAGTTTGATCAGAGAGAGGCAGAGAAAGAGAGAGAGGGAAAGTGAGAAAGCAAGCCACCAGGTCCAGAACGTGAACTGCGGTCGGCCATGTGGGAGTCCAGTGCCTTTAACCATCATGCCACCTGCTGGCCCTGCCCCACAGGTTCTTAACATCTTCCTACCAAAGTCCCATCAGCACAACACAAAACTGTAATAGACATAATATTGATGTCTTGCCAGTCCAGTTGACTTCATGTTATTGATTGTTGTCTATAATAATGAACAATTTTGGTGAAATACTAAGGGGGTCTTTGCTATGCTTTCAGCAGAATGAGTTCTCCAGGGTGATTTGCTAAGAACTTCTGCTCCCACTCTCGCAAGCTAGTCTGTCTTTGGACAGAGAAGTACAAGAGCTTCCTCACAGGTTTCCTAATATAAGTGTGGTTTGTGAGGGGAAAATAGTTTGGGGTTTATTTTGAGATGAGCTCATTTCTCCATTTGCTGGAGGCTGGGTTTGCAGACTGACCATTCTTTTGAGCTTTGGAGAATGACTTTCTAACTTTGGCTTGTCCATGCATGTTGGGCCAAACGGAAAATAACCGAAACAGCCAAGTCTTCTTTGCTTTCTGAATGCCTGCTGCTTCTGCTGCCTTTCTTCCTACTTCTTCCCTGCTGCTCAAGTAGCCTGAAGAAGAAAGCTGGCTTCAAGGAGCCGGCCTCTTTCTGAGGAAGCAGGGCTTTCTGAGGAGGCTGTGTGGACATGCGAGGGTGGACTTGCAGGGTGGCCTGGATCCTGGCCGAGCAGACTGCTCTATTATTACAGTGCCGTTGATGGTGCCTGCCATGCAGCCTGAGCCACCTGATTTGATTTTAGCAATAAAAGCCATAGGAGATGGAATTTGATAGTGACTGTGACTCTACTATCCAGGCAGAAAATTGCACGTAGGTCATTTTAGTGGCTCGTGCTGCTGAAAGGGGGACTCTCTTTTTTTTTTTGGGGGGGGAGGGAGACTAGTGTGCTCCTGGGGCTCAGCCACTTGGGGATTCCACATCACTGGGGGATTCCACGTGCCTGGGAGAACTGGGCAGAGGAGCTCTGTTTCAACAGTTGCTGAGAAAGGTGGACTCAGAGCAAAAACAGGAAAGTGCTGGATAATCAGTACTGGCTGGTTAGGGAGAGCATGGTATTACCCAGGGACGGGCTAGACACAGATGTCTGGATACACGTTCAAAGGAAGGGTGTGCTAGATAACAGTCAACTCCCTAAACAGACTGACTTACCTTTTAACGCAGGAATTGCCTACCTAAAAGCCCCCTAGAACCTAGTGAGTTATGAAGGCAGACAGGAGGGAGGGTGGTGTAAACACGTCAACAGCTCATGCTTTCATCACTCTCTGTAGACGGCCTATTTGGCTGTTCAGCTGCAGTACATACACACCTGGAGGCACAGTTCTGCTGTATCCTGACCCGTACAACCCATGTGGTCTGCAGACTGGGATTCCTGCTTTAACTTCTTGCAAGTTCCACCAACAATTCCACCTCCATTAAAATACAGAGGAATCTGGCAACTCAGCATTTTAACTGTCAGTTAATGATTATGCTCCCCCAGAGTTTCATGTTTTAGAATTTAGTTCCCAGTGTAATGTGCTGGGAGGTGATGAGACTTTTAAGATGTAAAACTTAGTAGGTAGAGTTTGGATCATGGAGCAGTTACCTTCATGAATGGGTTAATTCTGTTTTGTAAGACAGAGTGTGTTGTAACTCTCAAGAGAAGAGGTTAGTTTTCACAAGAGAAGGTTATTATAAAAGAACGACGGCTGCCCCAGGTCTCTCTCTCAGCATGTACCCTATATTCTCTCTG